TAGACCTCCCCACAGACCTTCCCCCACTCCCACCCCACACAGACCTCCCCTCAAACACACAGATCTCCCCCCACAGCTCCCCCGCCCGCTCACGCCAATGGGGCCGGTTGGCCAGGAGGGTCTCGGAGCTGTTTTCTCCTCCCACCCGCCCGTGCGCGCCCCGCCCCCCGCTCCCCTCTGAGTAACGGGGTCCCCCGGCCCCGCCCGGGGCGCTCCGGAGCTCGGCGCCTTGCAAACAGGTCGCGCGACCTGTTGAGCCGAAGCGGAGCCGCGGGGGCCGGGGCAGCCCCCGGGGGCGCCGATCGCCCGTAGCTGCAGCCTGCTCCCGGACCGGGTCCCCGCGGCTCGGGCCTTTCAAAGCCGGGTCCCAGGCTCCCGCGCTCGGTCCCCGCCGGGTCCAGCCCCGGAGAGCCGCGGCCTTTGTTCGCCGCGGAACAATCCCGGGCCTTTGTGGCAGAGCGGGGCGGGGGAGGGGGCTGCAGGGGGGGGGGGAGGGGAGAGGCTCAGGGTCGCGCCGGCCCCTTTGTGCTCCGGCTCCCTGGACCGGGGCCGCCCCGGGACAAATCGGCTTCGGCCTGGGCCGCTTCCCCGGGCTGGACTCCGGCGCCGGGCGCTCCAGCCCCGCAGAGCCCTGCGCCGGAGCCGGGCACCCGCAGGGCTGGGGGCGGCGCTGGGGGGTCCAGGCAGCGGCAGCTCTCCCGGGAATTGCCTTTGTGTCCCGGGGCTCGCTAAGATGGAGCCTGGGCGCTTTGTACCTGCCCGGCCTGGCCCCGGAGCCGGGCCGGGAGAGGGGTGCCCGGGCGGGGGCATGTCGCAGCCTCGCTGAGGGCCCTGACGGGCCTGGCTCCGGCTTCGCTGTGCCCCGCTAGCCGCGGCCTGTGGCTGCTCGGAGCGCGGGGAAAGCCGCGGTTCAAGGCCCAGCCCCTCCCCCGCAAGCGGCCCCCAGGCTGCTGAGCGCAGAGGAGGGGCTCACTCCGCGAACCTCAGCCCGAAACTGCCCCCCAGCAGCTGACATGGGGGGGGGGTCTGGCTCCCACCTGGGGTGCACCGCGCTGCTGTAAGTCGCTGGGCAAGAAGGATTTAAAAACAAAGCAACCAACAAAAAACCCTCTCTCCATAGTCCATTTTATTTTGTTTTCTTTTTATTGTGAAGTGCGCCAAGAGGCCTGGTGCCATTGTGCTTACTGGGACATCATTCAAATACTGGCTCAAAAAATTTCCCGGGGAAAAGTCTCCAGAAACAGGGTTAGATTCTTTACAGCTTGTAAAAATCATGTAAATTTCCAAATGGTATTTACAAGGCATTCTTGCAATATACAGTTCCCTTTTTTATTTTAAGTACAAAAAACAGAGGTCTATCTAATACAAGTTCCTTCTACCTGAATTCTATTAAGTTTTATTTTTATTTTGTGCTGCTTTAAGTTATTCATAAAATGGAAAGACTAAAAGAGGAAGTGCTGTATAGGTAAAAAGATTAGGAGCATCCACATGGCTTGTACAAAATAAGGTGATGGCATGTTTTCCTACCAAGGGGAGTGTACAGTTCTTTGTGGGCTATCTGTCTGCATGTGTGTGTGTGTGTGTCTGTCTGTCTGTATGCATGTGTGTGTGTGTGTGTGTGTCTGTATGCATGTGTCTGTGTCTGTCTGTCTGTATGAGTGTGTGTCTGTCTGCATGTGTGTGTGTCTGTCTGTCTGTATGAGTGTGTGTGTGTGTATGGCTGTGTGAGTGTCTGTGTGTCTGTCTGTATGCATGTGTGTGTGTGTGTCTGTCTGTATGAGTGTGTGTGTATGGCTGTATGAGTGTGTGTGTGTGTGGCTGTATGCATGTGTGTGTGTGTGTGTCTGTCTGTATGAGTGTGTGGCTGTGTGTGTGTGTGGCTGTGTGTGTGTGTGTGTATGTATGTCTGTGTGAGTGTCTGTGTGTCTGTCTGAGTGTGTGTGTGTGTGTGTGTGTGTGTATGGCTGTGTGTGTCTGTCTGTGTGTGTGTATGTCTGTGTGAGTGTGTCTGTGTGTCTGTCTGTCTGAGTGTGTGTGGCTGTCTGGCTGTGTGTGTGTGTAGAAATTTTGAACAGCTTGTCCAAGTATATCTATATTTTCCCCCAGATGCTTGAAATCTTAAAAAAAAATCCTTAAAGCCAAGGTGGATGTTCCTTCAAGATTTGCTAGAAAAATGTAACTAAAATGCTTGCAGTTCCCCTGGTTAGCCCCACAAGCCTATAATCCTAAAACTACAATGAAGTCAAAGGCAGGCAGTGCATACATTAGAAGAGAAGGAGGAATCGTCATATATTCTATTCCACTACATTGGCATAGTCCCTGATATTCGTTGCTATTAAGAATATTGGATTAAAATGTACCTGATTTCTCAGTAATACTATTTGTCTTAAAAATAACATGCATTACGTTAATTATTGCTCTATAAGTTCAGTATCGGACTCCTAAGGAGACATATTGCCCTCAAATATACTATCTAACGTTTGGCAAATAAATCAATAACCAAAGAACGCAACCCAGTGGTCAGAATCAAAAGCATCATAAAATTGGCATAGATTTAAATAGTTTTTTTGCATGCAAAAATTCAAAGTGTTAGAAAGGGTGGCAACGAAAAATCGGTTCGTTCTGTCTTTTTTTATTCAAAAAAGTGACGAAGACTTTGGCATAGCGAGGAGATATTGGCAACCAACGGAGAGGAGCTTGGAAGTAAACAACCGAGCAACTCAGTTTTGAACGCAAACTAAATTCACTAAGGAGCTTCCCCCAGAGAAAGACATAAATAAATAAGGGGGGGGCGAGTGTAGATCTCGAGATATTAAAAAAATCTGCGAAATAAATATATAATAAATCAACCCAGACATTTACGAAAATAGAAATAGACACTTAAAAAAACCCGTTGTAAATGAATCAAATCAAAACGTACCAAAGAGACTCGCGATCAGGAATTATTCATTATTGTTTTACCTTTAAAGGTGGACACTTTGTGGTCATTGGCTGCGGAGTACGAGTTTTATTTTGTGTTTTTTTTTCCTTCTTCGCTTCAAAAAAGGTTGAACCTTCCGAAAGCAAAAGCCCGGATGGAGGGACATTGGATGCCCTTGCGGCTGGGTTCCCGGCAGGGAGAGTCAATTTCAAAGGTCCATGCGAGGAGCAGCAGGAGATCTGAGTCCGTTTCCAAAGGGGGGGGGGGGGAATCGTCGGTTGCTGTGCTCTGTACTGGAGTTGGGGGGCGGGGGTTGGAGAGATGGGGGGGGAGACGTCCGAGGAGGGTTTGGAGAGGTGTGTGTGGGGTGGGGGCTGGAGACGAATTGGAGAAGGGCACCCCGAGAGTGCTTGGAGAGGTGGGGAGGGGCTCCCGGAGAGTGTTCGGAGGATGGGGAGGGGGACCCCGCCAGGGACGGGACCGGGAGGGGCTCCCGGAGAGTGCTTGGGGAGGGGAGACCCCGCCAGGGACTGGAAGGGGGAGGGGCTCCCGGAGAGTGCTTGGGGAGGGGGACCCCGCCAGGGACTGGAAGGGGGAGGGGCTCCCGGAGAGTGCTTGGGGAGGGGGGACCCCGCCAGGGACTGGAGGGGCTCCCGGAAAAGGTGGGGAAGGGGTGACCCCG